ATCAAATTTGCATCTCATTCATATTTTTATTCTCACTTCTGACTTCACTATATGTTCCCACTTTTGTTTTCCTCTCATCTTTTATTCATATTTTAAATTTATGCTACATTGGTATATAGTGTGTGTCATATGAGTCTGTGTTACCACACCTGTGTGTGGTATAAAGTTGTGTGTTTACTAGAGCCTCATCTATAAAGCTGCCTTAAATCCTTTCTGGAGCAAAGCGAATTCTAAACACATAATTATTTGATCTCACAGCCACCCTATGAGATGGATTTAGTTATATGGTTATAGTTATATAGTCATATATCCATCTCGTAGGGTAGTTGTGAGAATGGATATAGTTATACATCCAAATTTAAAAATGAATAAACCTCAAAGTTATACAATTCCTTATCAAAGTAACAAAACTAGTAACAGAGCTAATCCAAAACCCAATTTCTTTTTAGTTTTAATTCAAAACCCCATGCTTTTTCTCCCATCCTGAATACCACGTTGAAGAAGAAAAAGACACTAAAGGGGACAACGAAAGTCACAATTTTCACTAAGAGGAGTCATTTCCCATTTTTGCTGTACAAATGGAATGTTCAAATGAACACAAACTATCTTAGCTCCTAGAGTAAAATATCCTAAAATCAGGTATCCGACAGAACCCATCCTAAGTGGACAAATACACACAGTGGGACCACGCCGGAGGTCAGTCTGTGTTTAGCAGAATCCAGCCCTTTAAGAAACTTCCCTCAGTACTTGTTAACAAGTTGGTTTTGTAATCTCTTCTTTATACCCTGCATTCAGAGGCTTGGGAATTGCATTTATGTATGTTGAATTTGATTAGTTGACATGACCTCTTTCTTTTCAACAAATAAAACATGAAACTTCAATCTCCAAACCTCTTTGTACATTTATTTTTAATGAGTAATGTTCCCTGATCAGACAATCAAATCACGAGGTCACCCAGAGAAGCCTGGAATCTGAACAAGATGCCAAATAAAACCTATGAGGAAAAAAATTGCCGGCATGAATTGTTCTCTGGCTGTCAAGATCGGTTAAAGGTACTCGTGATCTTAAGAAATATACACATACATGAAGGATACCACGCACATTTCTTATTTCATCATTATCTCTGTGAATATGGGAATTCATTGTAGAGAAGGAGAACAGCTCATCAAAATGTGTTTGGCCTTGTTTTGGCCCTTATTTTCAAGTCTCATAAATACCCATACACCAGTTACCTAATTAGTGTCATAATCTAAGTTAATAGGACAGGCTATTAACTTGTGACAAAATTGCTGGTGGGGGGTAATGCATACAATTAAAAATGCCACTCTACCAAATACAGAAGGCTCTGCTCTGATGGCCCTCTGGAAGAGGATTAAACCTGGACTCACATCCTGAGTTAGAAGGGCCCTTAGAGGTCAGCTAGTCCAAATGCTCCCCTTGATTCTGTCTGAATACCTCTAGTGTTGGCGAACTCTCCACCTCCCAAAGCACCTATTTCATTTTCAAGGCATTCTGACGGCCCAGGGATTTCTAATCACAACCCAGGTGGGTCTTCTACCTAGAATTAAACTCTTGGCAGCAGAGTACACTCTCCCATAATAAAAACCTTCATGGGATCTTTCTGTTGCTTTTGCGAGGTCACTGGAATAAGCGAAACACAGTCATGTCTTCTTCTGAAAGACAGCTAAAATGCCATCTGAACAGATCATGCATTGAAGGACAAGAGACTGATTTGAAGAATGGTTGGCTCTGTACTGGAAGAGATGAACTGATAACCAAGTCTTTGAGGTCCTGGAGTCTGCATGTGGGGGAAGGGAGTAGCTATTCACAAAGTTGAGTAAACAGTGTGCTTTATTTCTGTATGGGTTGCAAAAGAAAATAATTAGCGGCATGCACCTTTTGTCCCAGCTACTCTCATAGCCTGAGGCAGGAGTATCACCTAAGCCTTGGGAGGTCAAGGCTGCAGTGAGCCATGATCACACCACTGCACTCAGGCCTGGGTGACAAAGGGAGACCCTGCCTCAAAAAAAAAAAAATGGTTGGGGGATAATGACTAGTACCAACTCCTTGCAGATGGGAACTCTTCTTGAAACTCTCCAACAACAACTATGAGCCTGCCACCCAACAAAGAAACTAAGATATTGACATTAACTTGATGTATGTTACCCATATGGTTGTCATTCTTCCCATCTCTCAGCCTTCTCTCACCCAGGATAACTGCTGTATTCATCATTCTTTTCTTTTTACATATCTCTAGTTTTATCACATATGTTCATTCCCAAAATACATTGTTTAGCTTTACTTTTTAATTTTGTAAAAAGGGTACATTCTGTAATTAATATTCTACTTATTTTTTCACTGAATTAAATTGTTCAGATTCATTCGTATTGTTGCAAGTAGTCCACTCATTTTTATTACTATATAATATTCCACTGTGTACACATGCCTTACTTCATTTATTCTCCTGCCAGTGGGCATTTTGGATTGTTTCGAGGATTTTTTTAGAACAAATAGAGCATCTATGTATATTCTTGTACATGTACAAAAGTATATCTATAAGAAGAACTACTTGGATTATATAGTATGTGAATATTTAATTGTCCAACTTAATGCCAAACTGCTTTCAAAGGTGGTTATAATAACTTACCCTCTTACCAACAATGTATATACAAGAAATTCTGCTAGGGCCAGGCACGGTGGCTTACACCTATAATCCCAACACATTGGGAGGCCAAGGCAGGTGGATCACCTGAACCCAGGAGTTTGGGACAAGCCTGGGCAACTTGACGAAACCCCATCTCTACAAAAAAATACAACAATTAGCTGGGTGTGGTGGTGCATACCAGTAGTCCTAGCTACTCAGGAGGCTGAGGTAGGAAATTTGCATAAGCCCAGCATTTATATTTATTTTATATACATACGAATATATATTATATAAATTTAAATACACACATCTTTTTCTCTGATTATTAAAGAAACATATGTCCTTGGTGGAAACACTGAAAAATACAGAAATTATTACACACATACACACACACACACACACATGCACACACACACACACACAGAGAGAGAAAGAAATCCCATCACACTAAAATAATAATTGTTAAACATTTTGATGTGTATTTTTTCTATGTAAATGTTTTCTGTGTAAATAAATATACTTATTCTTTTTATTTTTCAAAACTGGAGTAATAGTCTTTTGTAACATGCCACTTTCACTTAACATTATGTCTAAAACATTTCCTTGTATTATTGGGTACCCTGGAACAAGGATCTTCATGGCTGTACTGCATTCTATCATATGGAAGAACTATATTTCACCAATTCTTAATTGTTGGGTTTTGATTGTCTTCCAATTCTATTATTTTAGATAATTCTGTAATAAGTATTCTTTAGATACATCATATTTATTTCCTTAAATTCCCAAGAGTGAAATTGAATGGTTAAATTTTTAAGACTTTGGATAAATATTTCTAAATAGTCCACTTATTTACTCTGCACTGTGTCCAGCAGTGTCTGAAATGCCTGTTTTCTGTACTCTGGATATCACTAGGTATTACTATAAAAAGTAAAATATTTTCCAATTTGATTAGAGATAGGGAGCTCTTTCTCTTCATGACATATCTCATTTATTTTCTTTACTTGGCAGTAAAGTTAATTTGTTTAATAAAAGGTATTTATTAGCCATTGGTATTTCATCTATTCACGCTCCTCTTTCTTGGTCTTTCAAAGGGTCAATGTGATTCTTTCTCCTTGATTTGTACTGTGTTGATGCACTAAGGATAGACTCTTTGTCATTTATCTATGTTGCAATTGATCCCACTTTTGAAGAAGTCATGGCCTAATCCTCCTCATTCCAATGACTGATGAAATTGAAGGCAGTATAATAAAGTGATATAAAATTGTGCATAAAACAGAAAGAAAAGGTGCTTTCCAGAGCCTTGCAAGGTTCCCATGCAGGTAATACAGCCAAGTAAAAGAGGGAAGTGCTTTTGCAAGCATACGCTGAATGACAAAGCACAGCAAAGCCCACTCCAGGGACACCTCAAAACAGCAGCCTCTTTCCAGCCCTGATTTGACAGGCCGTGTAACGAGTCTAACCATGATTGTCAATGTCACAAAAGCCTCAAGGCTTCCCTGTCGCCTAAAAATGAACTTCATATCAATTAGTATGTTTAGCATGTCACCAGGGACAAGAGGAAGAAACAGCCACTTCCTCTTGAGAGAAAACGCTTCCATTTAGAGCTCATTAATAAAACCAGCTCAGGAAGTTGTAATCATAACTTAAGCAACAAAGACACACTTCCAGGTCAACACTTTTGAGAGCAGGTTCATTTTTGTTGCTTGCTAACGACCATATTAGGGCTTTAAGACACATTCAAAATCTTTGCCTCAGCAAGACTTTAGAGATTGTTTACACTCCCAGCGTGCTCTTAGGTCCTGCGTTAATTGTGCCATGTTTAATGTTTATTTCCAACAAGAGAAATCAATGCATCATTCTTGGTAAATGGGCACTCTGGGAATGAATGAAGAACAGTAACCAGAATGAGGAGGGAGTTCCCCTGGGGACTAGATGTGAATAGTTGTCTTGAAATCCAGAAAAGCAAAATACCTTAGGCATGTCACTATTGCATTTTGGTTCTTACACATGAATATCTTTATGTTCTTGATCTCTGCTGCGCAGTTTTGGTACTTCGAATAAGGATTTCAATGACATGAACTTCAACCTAGAGCCTGCTCCCTCTCTCTACCGCCCAACTTCAAATCAAGATCTGAGGGACCAATCAATTACACAAGGATACTAAATTCTAATGCCAGTGAAATGATGGCATTTTAAAACTAGTTGCTTGGTCTAAGGTAAGAGGAAAAACTGTCTGGTGAAGTCTCTGTTTTCATTCCCTTAGCCTTTCATACTAGTCAGCATTTTTAGAGCTGGTTGCTGTAACAATCCCCAAAGCTCCATGGTTTAATAAGACACAGGTTTATATTCCTCTTACCTCCCAGTCCAATGCACAGCAGGAAGCTTGCTGCAGAGGCTCTCCTCCATATGATGACTTGGGGATCCTTCCATCTTGGGGTGCTGCCATCCAAAATGTGACAGGTAGCTCTAATGGAAGGTAGCTGTGAAAGAGAAAGAGAGAATATGGAGGTGGTGGAAAATGACACAGGGGTTTTATAGACATTGTGTAAATCCTGGTAGCATAAGGCCAAGCATGGTGGTTTATGCCTGTAATCCCAACACCTTCGGAGGTCAAGGCAGGAGGATCACTTGAGCCCAGCCTGGCAAGATGGCAAGATTCCATCTCTACAAAAGAGTAATAAAAAGAATTAGCTGGATGTGGTGGTGCATACCTCCTAGCTACTGAGGAGGCTGAAGTGGGAGGACAGATTGAGCCCAGCAGGCCAAGGCTGCAGTGAACCATGACTGAACCACTGGACTCCAGCCTGTGCAAAAGAGTGAGACCCCATCTCAAAAGAAAAAGAGAAAAAAAAAAAACAATAAAATAAAACCTGGTAGCATGGCCCCAAACTAACTGTAAAGGTAGCTGAGGGCCCAGAGTGGTGGTTTACCCTGTAATCCCAACACTCTGGGAGGCCGAAGTGGGTGGATCACCTGAGGTCTGGAGTTTGAGACCAGCCTGACCAACGTGGTGAAACCCCGTCTCTACTAGAAATACAAAAATTAGCCGGGTGTGGTAGCAAGTGCATGAGAATCACTTGAACCTGAAAGGAAGAGTTTGCAGTGAGCCAAGATAGTGCTACTGCATCCAGCCTGCGTGACAGAGTGAGACTGTGTCTCAAAAAAGAAGAAGAAGGAGAAGGAGAAGGAGGGGGAAGAAGGAAGGAGGAAGGTGGAAGGAGACAGAGAATAAGGAAGGAGGAGGAAAAGGAGGAAGAAGGAAGATGGAAGAAGGAGAAGGAGGAGAAAAAGAAGCTGAGAAGCGTGTATTCCTCTGTGCCCAGGAGAAAGAAAAGGAAATGAGAATTTGTGACCCCACAGCATGGTTTGTACAATATCTTGGTTAGTTTTACCCGTATAATCTGAACAGCTGAAAGACCTTTTCAGCCCCTCTTTCTATACTTCTCAGTCTCACCAGAATACATGAAATGTCCACATAGGTATTCCTTTCTTTAAGACTTTGCAGAATGGATTAAAAGAGTCACCTTTTGAGGAATGCCTATATCCTGAATGCTTTTTTTCCGTCTCAGTTGTTCTCGGCATCTTAGAAAGGCAGAGTCAGCTGCTTCCCACAATAACCACACCAGATTACAGCAGGGGTGTACACAGGGCACAGGAAACCTACCCAGACTGGCCCTGAGGCAGCCCAGACACCTCCGAGCTGGCTGACGCAAACAAGGCCAAGGGATGACTCACACCAAATCACTCCAAACAGCTTCATCTAATGCTCTCTTTCACGAATCGAAAATGTGAGGGGAAAGAAGCTTCTCGAAGATGGCGCAGTAAGAACGACTCAGGATTGCAGCTCTCAGTGAAGGCGCAGAGGGGCCCAGGAACTGCATCGGGCAGACGTTCGCTATGGCGGAGATGAAGGTGGTCCTGGCGCTCACGCTGCTGCGTTTCCGCGTCCCGCCGGACCACAGGAAGCCCCGGATGAAGGCGGAGCTGGTCATGCGTGCGGAGGGCGGACTTTGGCTGCGTGTGGAGCCCCTGAGCTGAGGTCCGCAGAGACCTACTGTACCCTTCCGAAAATGACCCCTGATTCATCAAAAGTGAGCCATAGAATTACCATATGACTCTATTGCACTGTAAAGCTTTCCATCCTAGATATATACTCAAAATAATTGAGAAAGGTGTTCAAACAAAAAGACGCCTGTGCGTGAATGCTCATGGCAGCCCTATTCACAGTAGCCAAGGGATGAAAACAACCCCAATGTAAATATTTACCAGATGAAGGCATAAACAAAGTGTGGCCCATCCATACAGTGGAATATTACACAGCCATAAAAAGGAATGAAGTACTGATCCATACACTGTGGAAGAACCTTGAATACATGATACTTAATGAAAGACATCACACGAAAGGTCACATAGTGTATGATTCTTTAATATGAAATTTCGAGAACAGGCCAATCTGAAGAGATATAAAGCAGATTGGTGGCTTTCAGGAGCTGTAGGGAGGTGGGACTGAGGAGCCAGTGCTAATCAGGGCAGAGTTTCCTCCTGGGACGGTGAAAATGTTCCAGACCCAGATAGTGATGTAGGGAGCATGACATTGTGAGTACACTAAATGCTATTGAACTGAACACTTTGAAATGGTGAATTTTGTGTTTATGTGAGTTTTACCTCAATCAGAAAAAATGCTATTTTATCTCACATATTTTTTTTCTGTCTGGGTTGTTCACATAATATAGGGTGAGCATCTTTCCATGACATTAAATCATCTTAGGAAACATTATTTCATGGTCTTCAAAAAAAAAAAAAAGAAAGAAAATGTGAGGGGAACAAAGTGAGATCAGGCCTTCAGCTTTAAGTTGTTATCCTGAGATGCCCTGACAAATTTCCCTATTGCTGCATAGAAAACATGGTCACCTTTGGTAACAGCATGCCATAAAATAAACTGCATTTTGTGGGGAGGAAATGGAGTCTCACTGTGTCACCCAGGCTGGAGTACAGTGGCACAATCTCAGCTCACTGCAACCTCTGCCTCCTAAGTTCAAGTTATTCTTCTGCCTTCGCCTCCGAGTAGCTGGGACTACAGCACGTCACCACACCTGGCTAATTTATTTTTGTATTTTCAGTAGAGACAAAGGTTTCACCATATTGGCCAGGCTGTTCTTGAACTCATGACCTCGTGATCTGTGCCCACCTTGGCCTCCCAAAGTGCTGGGATTACAGGCGTGAGCCACCAAGCCTGGCCCCCATTTCTATAAGTTATCTCAGCCAATCATTTAGTTCATAAGAGATCTTTGGGGAAATTCCAAATGAGGCCTGAGAATTCCCTGGCACGCCACAGAGGGGCAAATGAAACCGCAGCTCTTAAGCAAGGTGGGTCAAGGAAGATGTGAGTAGTCAGGGGCCCATAGCAATTCTGAAATCTTATCAGGATCCTCCCACCGAAGGGATAGGAAATATTCCTTAATTAAGCCTCGGTTCGGCTTCCTGGGAATAAGTGTCAAGTCCATTGTTCACCATGACTCTTGACTCTACTCTGTGGATGTCTTTCTTTTTTCAATGTCTTTCTTGGCTATGTAAAAATAGCATTGTAGAATATACCCTCTTAGAAGCGTGACTAACTGTCCCAACTTGTCCAGGACTGAGAGTTTCCTGGTTGCAGGGCTATCTGTACTAAACCAGGAAAACTCCAGGCAAATCAGGTCACCCTACTCCCCTATTACCTTCTTGGCAGCTGCAGAGATTTCTTAGCCTGCTTCCTGCTGGTAGAAAGTTGGAGAATCAAGTGATTTTTTTCTGGATTCATCTTTGAGCTGAACCTTCTAAACTAGTTAACAGTCACATCTCTTTTTTTTTTTTTTTTTTTTTTAATTTTTATTGGATTTTAGGATTTGGGGTACATGAGCAGAGCATGTAAGACAGTTGCGTAGGAACACACATGGCAGTGTGCTTTTCTTTCCTTCTCCCCTTCACCCACATTTGGCATTTCTCCCCAGGCTATCCCTCCCCACCTCCCCCTCCCACTGGCCTTCCCCTTTTCCCCCCAATAGACCCCAGTGTTTAGTACTCCCCTTTCTGTGTCCATGTGTTCTCATTTTTCATCACCCGCCTATGAGTGAGAATATGCGGTGTTTCATTTTCTGTTCTTGTGTCAGTTTGCTGAGGATGATGTTCTCCAGATTCATCCATGTCCCTACAAACGACACAAACTCATCATTTCTGATTGCTGCATAATATTCCATGGTATATATGTGCCACATTTTTCCACATCTCTTTTATGCTAGCGAAGGGTGCTTTGGGCAAGACACCTCACTCAAAAACTGTTGACTTTTTGCATTTTATTCTCAACAACTCTATGTGACAAGTTATACCCACAATTTGTTTTGAGGCACCCAATATACTTATTAACAGTTACTTCGATATATCAGACTTCCAATATGTCAGATCCATTATGTCCCACTGGGGAAAAAAAAAATCTATAGCTACCTCTTAAATCCTTGTAATGATCTTTTAAAAGTTTGACTCAGTCATTCCCAGAGGCTATACCTTAGTAAGCTTTTAAACCAAAGAACTTTTCAGCTTTCTCTTCCTGGTTGGAGATGAGAAACAATTTAATTTTTCAGCCCTGAGAGTTCCAGAATCTCTGGCCTCTCTCTGTTTCCTCTCTATTCTGCTTTGAACCCAATCAGTTCTTTTCTGAACTTGTTCCTTTCTTTTCTGTAGTGGATTACGTACAACGCGTAACAGCCAGCTCGCATTGCCAGCATTCTGCCTCGGGACTTCCTCACTTCTCTCACCATTTCATGAGGTATGTTGCTTGCCTTCCCGATGTTGTCAGGTGACAGTTTTACCAGGTGCTTTGCTACCACATAACATAGGTCACCATCTTCCAACCTCTGTCATTGTTTTGCCACTTGCTCTCTGATCCCAAAGCCGTGGCTACAGATTACAGGCAAAACGCTGCTTTAAGTACCAATGCACAGATTAGAAAGGTTTTCACTGTGACAGTTCTGCATATCAAATACTTCTAAGATCTCAGTGGATAAAATAGCAAACATTCAATTTTACACTCACGTATCTGTAAGTAACCTGCGGTTTGGCTAATATTAGCTGAATTTAACTGAGCCAGGCTGGATTATATAATTAACATCAATTCTCCATCATTTCTGGGTTCATCTTCGAACTGAACCTCCTAAAACCAGCTAAAAGGTCACCGTTTCTGATGACCTTCAAGGTGATGGGTCATCTAGATGCAGACACTGATTTACAATTCTACCCAGCTGGACTGAGCCAATCTCATTAAAAGGTTACAAACAATCTCATCTCTCACACTGGAAAAAAAAGGTATTCATTTCACAACATCATGCTTTGCTTCTATGATTGCAAAAATTATTATTCTTTTGCAAATTTATATTAAATGTCTGATAAGTCATTTGTGGTATAGTATTATTTGAGATGAATAATCCTTTAAGCCATTGAGACCAGTGATGAAGGAAACCAATGAGACTGTTTCCAACACACATTTACCAAGTGCCAATTATGTATACAAGAGCTGCGATGAGTATAAAAACTGTCCCTGTTTTCAACAATGATGCTAACATATAATACTGCAAGAGGCCAGGCAGGATTCTGAGTGCCTTACATGCAGTATTACAACACGCAAAACAATTCTCTGAGACAGGTGCTATATTATCCCCAGTTTGTAGAAGAAATAATTGCACAGAAAGATGAAATACGTTGCCAAGGTTTGCCCTTACAGTAAGTGGCAGAGCAAAGATTCGAACCAAGGCAGTTTGCCATCAAAGCCCAGAGTCAATGACTACACAAAACTAGCTCCATGCTGCTTGTAACCCAATGAGGCAGACTGCAATAGTAATGCAGAACAGGAGACAACTGACCAAAGTGGATCAAGGAGAAAGCTGCTTTTGCATAAGGCTTGTGATGACTAGTTATCAGAACTATTCGCTAGTGACCCCATGAGATAAGAGGACACGCAAGAGGTAAGGTTTAAGGGGAAAAATATACCTGGAACTGTTAAAGCCTAGGCTAACTGGGAAAGGGCAGGCTTGTGAGAAATAAGGGAAACGTTCCAGGGTGGGCTGATGGCAGTGGAATGGCAGGAGTGCTCTGTGAAACAATGAGGAATGTATAGAAAGGTGGAAGATGATTTTTTTAATTTATTTGGTTTTGGAGACAGAGTCTCACTCTGTCACCCTGGCTGGAATGTAGTGGTGCATTCCATCTTGGCTTACTGCAACCTCCACCTCCCAGGTTCAAGTGGTTCTGGTGCCTCAGCCTCCCAAGAAGCTGGGATTACAGGCATGTACCATCATGCTCAGCTAATTTTTGCATTTTCAGTAGAGACACGTTTAGCCATGTTGCCCAGGCTGGTCTCCAACTCTTGATCTCAACTGATCTGCCCACCTTGGCAGATGTGATTACAGGTATGAGCCACTGTGCCCTGATATTTTAAAACAACACACTATTATTAATTAAACTTGGCTCAGCCTTGCCCTACCCCAAGATTTAACTTTTCCCACCTTTTTTTTTTTAAAAAAAGACTTCATAACCAGACATTCTCAGTAATATCCAGCCCTATCAGCCCCAAATTAGCCTTAGTAATACAGGTAAATGTTCCCTGCGGATGTTACAGACACAGGCAAATGCCTATCATGTGGTTTCTCTCCTCTGGATTTAACTGCGGGTGAAGAGCTACTATATTAATCTGCTAGGGTAATGACAATTCTGTCTCCCCTACTGTCTTGAAAGGTTTTGGAATGAATCCTTTCCTTGCACTATTGTTATGTGAGAAGATGCATATGAAAAGTACCATAGAAATGTATATACATTGTCATGTACGTGTTAGTTATGACTATAGATTTCAAGCAGGGGATAGCTTTAATTTCAAACATTACTCTGGCTGAAGATGAAGTTATATTGAAATATCTCGGAAAATGTTAG